GCTGCAGCCTTCCTGGTGATATAAACAACACAGCAGCAGCAGCCCCTCTATAATTTAAACAACCCTTGGCACCATGCCTTTTCTTTCTATTTTTACAAATGGCAGAAGAATTTTCTGTATAAAAATGAATATCACCAGCGGCCAAACCACCAGAATTGCTCTGTTGGTCCCCATCCTAATGGGGTGTGAGCACTGGCTGCTGCCTCGGGAATGCAGGTGGCCAGTGATGCTTATTTGCTGATTTGTGCTCGTAAACCCTTTTTCATCTGAGGATCTCAGAGCAGTTTACAAACATGAATTTAGCCACTAGCCGCCCAAGCAGGCCCTACCTCATCATACCTGTTGAACGAGCGTGCAGTCAGAAATAGATCTCACCCAGGTTTGCACAGGAGAGGATGTCTCCTTACAACTGGGAGAATCTCCTTAATCACAGAATCACAGAATCACAGAATTGCCAGGGTTGGAAGGGACCTCAAGGATCATGAATCTCCAACCCCCCTGCCACATGGCAGGTCCAAACTACAAAAAAGGCAAGGCAGGAAAACTGAAGGAAATATTTTCTCCAAGACATACTTCTATGGGAAATGCAATCTTCTTCAATGCTGTGTTAATTGCAATGTTAATTATGCACCACACAGTGCACTAACACTGCTGATCCTGATATGGGTCCAGGAACATTCCAGCAATGGGTACTAGAGCTCTGCTCTCAGGGTCCTCTTGCAGGTATCAGGCAGTGACAGGACATCACTGCCTCCATCAGAAACCGAGGCTGACAGACAACAGCAACTCAGGTAAATACTGCTGCATTCACAGCACTGAAGCAGCAGCTGTGCAGCTAGAAGCTGGGATTTCTCCTTAATGCAGGAGTGAGCCTAGATGTCTTGCTGGATGCAAGTTTGTTTGCTTCCTTGTCATCTGGTGACCGCTTTGGGGAGGCCCTTTGGCAGGTTATGCTCAGTCTGAGGCTGCCCCATGGAAGATGGGCAAAGAAAAGCAGGGAACAAGGGCCTGGGGCTTGCAGAGGGATTTCCCTGTTCTACATACGCAGTTTTAACTCGTGTGACTGGTTACATGCAGAGGTTCATTCTGTCAGACTTGCTAATTTCTCCCAACCCCTGTCTCATGAACCCCAAAAGTCTTTCTGACACAGTTCTGTTTTGATTTGTTTTGTTGAAGGAGTGGAACAAGACGCACAGCACAAACCAGATACATTTTGTAATTGTAAGTCAGCTGATTGCTAGGCATACATGACACAGACACACTCGTGTGCACCTCTGACACGGTGACTACCTGTCCCAGTGTGTTTTCTCTCCACATAAACATCCATGTGGGTGGGGTGTTTGTGTTCTAAAATAATTAAAAATGTATATTTGCATGTTGTATGCTGTCTTCTTGTATACTATTGATTCCATGCTTCAAGGCACACTAAGAATGTGTAGGCATTCGGTCTTGTGTTAGGATGAGCATTTCAGAGTAATGCACAGCCTTGCTGTCCAGCACTTCTGTTTGCTGCCATGGCTCTGAAAAGCACGAACCAGCCCTGTAAGGATTCTTAGCAGTTATTTGTTAGGGATGTGTTTTGCATGGAACAGAGCAAAACTGGAGTTTTCCCAGCGCTCCAAATACATTCAGACTTTAACAGAGGTGCAGACAGATCCAAATCCAGTCTCTGAATCTACAGAAAGAATTGCTTACGTGCTGTCTAGGCGCGCACTGCCCAGGGTAACGAGGTGGCTTTCATTCACAGCCCAAATGCTTGCAGTGAAAGCACAGTCAGCTTTGTAGCTGGGGAGAGGAAGCATCTGATCCAAAACTTGGCTGGCACTATGAAACAATTGGGAATGTGTCGCAGCCACATTCCTGGCTGGCCGTGCCTTTGTTCAGCAGCAGGACGTGGCTGGAGGCATACGGTGCCCAGAGAAAAAGATTTGTCAACACAACCTGCAACTGTTTAGCATCTATTGCCATATGGGGTGCGCATGGAATTCCCTGCATGACCTCCATTTAAATTGCCTCTCTGCACTTGGATGTGTGCATTGAGATGCTGGATGAGTGCTGTGCATGAAGGAAAGGGGAGAAAGCAGGATGCATCCACTCTGGCTGCCAAATCTCCCTCTTCCTCCACGGTGGCAGGTATAAGAAAGACAAGTAACAAGGACAAGGAGAAGTACAAGAAAATAAAATCTTTAGCTATTTAGAAAAATAAATGTATGTATGCCAGTTACACCAGCTTGTTTCCAAGTGTACTGCAATAGCCATCCATGAAATGTGCCTAAGATGCTTGTATGAGGAAACTTGATTGCTTGAGCTGAATAACAAAAGTCAAAGGAAACTTAACAGTAATGAATCAAAGTCTTTAGGCAGTAAGGGTATGTTCTAAGTGGCATCAGGGTGTGTGTAAAGTGAAATTTATTATTAAAAATGCTCAGATTTTTCCATACTTGTTTAACGCAGCATCTTTTTGCATGCAAGAGCACAGGGGATACAAAGTCTGCTCATCTGCTGAGCAGAAAGCAGTAAAAGCACAGACTGCTAACACTTGCAAGAGTGTGCTTCTATCTGGCTTCCTTCATCACAAGCCTCACCTAATAGCAAAATCAGTACTGAGGGGGAGAGAGTCCTCATGCACATCTTGAAATGCTTTATGTAGAATTATTTTCAGCATTTCTCTGCTTAATCAGCTCCTCTGTTTGCATGACTCCTACACACAGCACCAAGGGAGAGAGACCATTATAAAAAGAGAAAAAAATATTTCAGTAAACCACAAAAACTGGCCAGTGAACTAGGGGGCAGCCAGGAAAACACAGAGAACTCAGTCAGTTACAAAACAAAAGTCAAAGTCCTAGTGAGCCACTTCTGTGCTTTCAGGCACTAGGGAAAATCTCCCTAAAGAGCCACCCAAGTTTTCTAAAAGCAAACATTTTGGACAATATTAATTGTCCTTTAAAATACCCATTACAAAAGCTGAGGCTTGAAATTAAATATTATGACAGCACGTTGCTACAGAAGCGAGGTGGAAAGATCAGAGTTGGCCCTTTTGATGTGTATATGGCAACCTGGAGGGAGCAGCACCCACTTCCCCAAAGCCCTACAGATCTGCTAAGGGTACAGACAGCAGAGCTTGCAAACAGCCCCGGTGATGGTGAAATATCCACATCACAGTGGCAGGGAGAAACTGCCAGGTATGGAGTCAGGAAAAACAAGTTCAGAAATAACTTTTTTTTTTTTTTAAATTGTAGTTTTTCTGTCCTCCTCAGCAGTGCTTCCTAGGAGTTCTTAATGAATAGTTTGTTCCTGCAGGACTCAAAATAATTGGCAGTGCCCTAATTTTTTTCTTCCCATGTCTTATTATTGTGGATTTAATTATTTACTGAGGAACTCAGGTTCATTAAGCACCACTGAGAAATACCCTGCGGCTTTGGTTGTGGTGTCACCTAGAGCAGGAGTTCTGTAGGCACTTCTGTGCAAGTATTTGGAGCCAGGGGGGCTCAGACTCAGCACTGGAGGCCCTGCCCCATCCTTCACTTCTAGGAAGCGGGCCAACTCTGTGGTGCCCCACCACAGCCAGGTAGAAAGTGGAGCACATGTTTAGGACCTGATTCACTCGATGCAGTATCAAGGTGCCTATACCAACACTGTAGGATGTTAAGAAATGACAAAGATATCCATTTACTTGCCTGGGCAGCTGCTGCGATAATTGCACCACATGCAATACTGTGGAGAACAGAGCTGAAGTTAATAAAAATGTGAACTCACTGTGCAGAACTCATTACATTTTTCTATTTCAGCCAGACAACATTAGTGTTTATTGCATTTCTGTACAAATTGATTCATTCTTCCTTTTTAAGGCAATTAAACAAATTAATGCTATTTTTACTCCGCTTGATTCACTGAGTGAAATTATAAGTTTCAATTTAGTTTGTAAATTTGGGGCCGAGGGAAAAGCACTCCATTTTGCCTTCAAAATCAGACAACGAGCTCATTCCCAGTTCCGTTTGGCCGTCAAAGTGGGGGAGCGGTGCCACCTGCAGACCGTTCCAACGCAGACACGGAGCAGAACGGAAGCTCTGCAGCCCGTGAGTCCTTAAGCTGCTAAGGCAGCCTCACCACCAGCAAAGCCAAAGGGCATTTGATAATAAGCCCTATGAGATTTGAAATAAACGCTTTTCAGGAAATGCAAACTGCCTTCATTTTTCAAGAAACAGCAGTGTTTTCTTCAAGTTACACTCAATTTCTCATATACAGTCCAGAATTCCTTGAAAGTATTAGTTTTATTGAGATTGTTCATTTTATGAACTTCTGTCTGTGAGGGCAGATGTCTTTACCACAAAGCCTTTTTATAAAACATGATGTACAAATATGAAATGAATAAATACGAAACAATTTCTTCTACCTTTCTCTGGACAGCTGGTCTGCTGGTTGGCGGCCCTGCACATAGCAGGGGGGTTGAAGCTGGATGATCATCGTGGTCCTTTTCAACCCAGGCCATTCTATGATTCTACACTCAAGGAATTTATTTCTCATCATACAGCGGCCTGGGTTGGATGGGACCTTAAAGATCATCCAGCTCCAACCCTCTGTGTAACACTTACAGTGCTAGGCTTTATGCATGTATCTACAGCCGAGACAAAAGCGGTGGTGATGAACACGTGAAACATTTGAATTTGGTCTGGTATTAAACGTGGAGGTTGGTGGCCCTACATGTGGCAGGGGGGTTGGATATCCACGGTCCATGAGGTCCCTTCCGACCCTGGCCATTGTGTGATTCAGTGAAACAAAGGGGCACAAAGTATCACTGAATCATACGGAAATCTTTCAGGAAAGCGTTCTCGGCCGTGTCACCGTTCCACGGTGGAGTCAGAGCAGGCGGTGACTCAAACTCACACGGTGAGACGTGGCCAGGAACCCCGTGCTGGGTGCGGTGCGGTGACTGTGTGTGAGGTCACAGCTGGGATCTCCGGGGCACGGCCATGGCTGCACACAGGCCGCACACAGGCCGCACACAGGCCGCACACAGGCCGCTCGGCGCAGCCATCCGTGGAGCTCTCAACAGCGCTGTGTGGATTTTGGCAGCTCTCTCCCTGCAGGCCACAGCTCGCAGGTGAAGGCCTCGAGCAGTACGGCGGGGCTGCAGCCCGCGCTCTGTGCCCACGTCCCCTCAGAGACCGCCACCTCCTCACAGCCACACCGCCACAGCGCCGTGCCTCCCGCCTCCCCACACCCGCTGGCACACCGCCGCCGCACGGCCGCTCAGATATCTTTTAAAGCCAGATTCTGACAATAGGGGGTTAAAAAACCACCCCGCGACGGAGCTTCCACAGCGGAAAAAAAAAAAAAAGCAAAGCAAACAGCGAACGCACGCCCACACACCTCAGGGACCGCCTCAAAATGGCGCCCGCCCACCCGTGACGTCACACGCCAGAAGCGGAGGGGCGCGGCCGAGGCGGGAAAGTGAGGGTCCCGCCCAAAGCCCGGCCTCGCGAGGCCCCCGGGCTGCCCCAACCAGCGCCTGACTCCCCGCGGCATCCGTGCAGGCGCCGCTGACGGCTTTGGGGGCCTGCGGCGGGGCGGCTGCGGGCCGGGGCGAGGGGACGCAGCGCGGCGGGGCTGCGCGGCCGCTGTGGAGATGCCGCTCTTCGCCTCCAACCCCTTCGAGCAGGACGTGGGTGAGCGAGCGGGGAAGGGCGGGCCGGCGGGCGGGCCGCGGTTCGCCTCGGCGCGGTGTTGGGGCCCGCGGCCGCGGCTCGGGCCTGCGAGGGGGGAGCGGCGGCTGCGGCCGTCCGCCTCTCGGAGCTGCGGTGCGTGCGGCTGGTCGGTTCGGGCTGGGAGTCGTGGAGGCGAAGATCGGCCTTGTTGCGTCGGGTTGTGCCCGCTGGGTGTCCGGAGGGACGCGGCCCCGGTTCGGCCCCAGCTGGCGCCGCGTCCCATTGCAGAAGCGGGGGCAGCGTGGGCCGGGCGGTGCGGCCGTGACTCAGCCGGGCTGTTCGGGTCGGGCTTCGAAACAGCGCTGCTCTCCGGGACGTCCAGTTTGTAACGTGCCTTGTTTTTGTCTTTCTGGTTTTTAAAGGCCCATTTCTAGCGTTACATAATAATCATAGAATCATAGAATCACAAGGTTGGAAACGACCTGCAAGATCATCTAGTCCAACTGTCTTCTCGTTACCACTGCTACCACAACTAAACCATATCTTGCAGCTCCTCGTCCAGATGCCTCTTGAACACTGCCAGGGACGGCGACTCCACTGCCTCCCTGTGCAGCCATTGCAGTGCCTGACCACCATCTGAGAGAAAAAGTTTTTCCTCCTGTCCAACCTAAACCTCCTCTGGTACAACTTGTGGCCATTTTCCTGGGTCCTGTTTGTTGCCTGGGAGAAGAGGCCAAACCCCTCTTCACCAGAGCCTCCCTTCAGGAAGTTGTAGAGTGCAATGAGGTCTCCCCTGAGCCTCCTCTTCTCCAGACTGAACAATCCCAGCTCCCTCAGCTGCTCCTCATAGGACTTGTGCTCCAGACCCCTCACCAGTTTCGTTGCCCTTCTCTGGACACACTCTGAATTGCACCATAGCGAAAGCAATTAAAATAGGCTAGATACCAGGGTCAGACTTGCATTTTCTTCGCCTGCCTAAAGCCCCAGGGTTTTAGGTATGAGAAGAATTCATCATTATGGAATCACAGAACCATAGGGGCTGGAAGGGATCTTGGAGATCCCCCAGTCCGGTCCCCCAAAGCTGGTTTCCCAGAGCACACTGCAGGTTCCCTACGGCAGGATTCTGGTCACTGACAGGAAGAAGCGGTGGCTGTCAGTGCTCACGTGAACAGCCCATTTCCTTCTTGTGAGTGTAAGTCCTGCCCCTCTACTCTGTGCTGGTAACGCTCACCTGGAGTGCTGCATCCAGATGTGAGTCTTCAGTACAGGAGGGGCATGGAGCTGTTGGAGAGCGTCCAGAGGAGGGCCATGAAATCAATCCATGGAATGGAGCACCTCTCCTATGAGGACAGGCTTGGAGAGCTGGGGCTGTGCAGCCTGGAGCAGAGAAGGCTCTGAGGTGACATGATAATAATAGCAGCCTTTTGGTATCTACAGGAGAGCCACAGGAAGGAAAGGGACAGACTCTTTAGCAGGGTCTGTGGTGATAGAACAAGGAGAAATGGCTTCAAGCTCAAAAAGGGTAGATTTAGGTTAGATAAGAGGAAAAAGTCTTTTACAGTCATTAGTACTGGAACGGTGATGTGGTGGATGCCCCATCCCTGGAGACTGTCAAGCTGAGGCTGGATCAGGCCCTGGGCAACCTGACCTAGCTGTGATGTCCCTGTTCATTGCAGGGGAGCTGGGCTAGATGGCCCTTAGAGGTCCCTTCCAACTCTAAGGAGTCTGTGATAAGGTGCACTGTTTTCTTCATGTGCCTTCAAAGTTTGTATATTGAAGGCATTGCCTTCAGTTGACTTTGATGTTGACCTGTGGCTAAAATGAAGTAGCAACCAGCTAGGCCAGCTTCAACCAGTACACTTGTTTCAAGGAACTTGTGTGTGTTCTGTACCTTTCTCATAGCTCTGATGTATTTGCACAAATGAAGACTTCTTGAACTGGAGACTCACAGCTGTACAGAGGTGTCTGCCAAACTGAAAAGCTGCAACAATGCTAAAGATTGTTGCAAACTGATTGTCAGTGTGCCTGTAGTTTCTTAAACTCTGTGCTGTACACAATGTGTAGAACTGCTCACACGTGCTACAATTAAACAAGTGCAGTGGGAATTTCATAATAATTGAGGCTAAATCTTACAGTCCCTTGCCAAGGAAAATCTACTTTCTGCCACTAGGAGCTTTTTTCTTTTAGTTATTATTAGTAAATCAGACAACACGGAGTGTCAAATGTGGTTGCTCTGTACTTTCACTGGTGGTACTCACCTGATGCTGCTCATGCTTCTGTTGAGCTTTAACTTTATGATTTGAGGTTTTATTTTCTCCTTCATCTTTTTGATTTAGAAAAATAAAGGTGCATGCCACAAGCGTGGTTGAGCTCTGCTGCTGTCCTGATGCTACTGGAAAGAAGAGCTCTTCCATCTTCTCGTCCGCTCAGGTGTTATGGGTTGCTCTCTGGGCTGACTCAGTGCATTCTTTTCAGCAGAAAATAAATTCCAAAGAAGTGTTTGGCTGACAGATGAGATCATCTGTGAAGGCAATGAAGTTTGGTGGCTTGAATCAGCTCATCAGAGGCTGCCAAGTGGCAGTGAGAAGGAGGGGCAGGGCTCCCTAGGAAGGTCAGTGAGGGAAATGGAGCCCTGCTTCTGGTGGCAGTGAGAAATTGGGTTGGTTCAGATATCTCTTCAGACCAGCCTTTGGTATTGCAGCTTTCTTGGGAGGGGGCCTTTAGAAATTATAGATAAACACAGCTACAACTGTTGTTTTCTTAGTTCTAAACTCATGTGTTTGCTTTTCAGCTGATCTGCGGAGGGTCTTACTTCCTCAGCATTTGCTTTGGTTGCTTTGTCTGTGGTTGCAGTTCCATGAGACTAACCTATGGAATAGTTTCAGAAATTCCATTTCTTTCACCTGTGGGTTTTTTTTTTTTAAATTATTATTATTATTTTGGCTGAGAGAATACCACAAGACTTCAGTTCTTTAAAGGGTTTGAAGCATTTTAATTTCCTACCTAAATCTGTTCGTTGTTAGTCTATATGCATTTGCTGTTTTCCCCCCACTGTAAGCCTTCTTAAATAACCTTCATCTTCTAAAAGTAGTAGCTCCTCCAGCACAGGACAAGCCTACTGCTTTTCATCTTTTGTTTGGTTAGCCTTCTTTTTTGAGGTTGTGAACACAATCACGGGGTGGGAAGTATTTTTTCTGTGTAGTTTGAATGGCATCCAGAATTGCATGCCATGTCACGGGTTGCTGGTAACTTGTACGATCACATTTTGTGTTTTCTTGTTCTTTGCTGAAGTGTTTACCTGCTGTGTTTTATTCTAGTGTTATATTTGCCTTCTTGTATCTGTTTCATATGGTGCTCTGCATCCTCTTGTGCTTGCACTTGGTGTGCTTGTGCTTCTCCTCTTGTTTCCAACCACTGACATTTTGTTCCTAGGAGAATCTTTGATAGACTGGCTGTGTGAGTTTGCATTTTGTCCTGCTGCTATCTTGTTCTGTCTAACCCACTCATCAGTAGTTCACATTTCTCCTTATGTGACGTTCTAGTCTTCCGTGTTACTGATAATACCTTTCAACTTCGTTAGCTTCCTTTGCAGACCCTTACTCCTGCTGTCAGTGCCTGCCAAAACATATTCATTTCAAGTCTAATTCTTAAGGCATTCAGCTCCCTGCCCTCTTTAGAGTGCTTTACATCACAGTGTGTCTTCCTTACAATGTGGAGTGATCCAAGAACTGTAGCTAATAACTCACAGATGGCTTCCTAAGAAATATTTCACTGAGTGCTGGACAGACTGGTTGATGCTTAAATTAACCTTTGGCAAGGTGTCCTGCCTGGAGGAATAGCTGCGTTCTGTTGAAGTTCACCATGGTTCCATTTCATCTCAGCAATAATTCATGTCTTTAACATTTGGCTTAAGGTCTTGAAAATGTTTGTTGCCAAGCTAATTGTTGTGGGGTTTTCGTTGTTGCTCACGTCTTTTTCTCTTCTTTAAATCTTTGCAAGTCTTCAATCCATGACTTGATTTTGATTGGAGTGATAAAAATTCCTGGATTCCAAATCTGCAATTTCATGTCAGTTCTTTGTCATTACCAAGACTGCTGCTTCCAGCCTCAACCCTGCCTTGATCACTGCATGTCTGTAGTGATCACATTTCTAATCAGTAGTTAAGTCAAAGCTAGGTTATTATATTTTTGCCTCTTCATTAATTTGGATATACGAGGGCAAAGTAAGCAAAAGAAGGTGTGCAAGATTAAATTTCTGCCTTCTAGAAATTCATTTATGTGACTCTGGTTTTTCTTTGGGGGGAAAAAAAAACAGCAATCTGGAGTAATTCTCAATTTATTTTTCCCAATCTTTCACTTTTATTACACGAACACTGTTTTTACATACATGGGATGACACTGAGTAAAACTTGAAATATGTGAGCCTCTACGAGTTTCTGTTTCACATCACTTTAGGATGCAAATCGGTCTCTAGAAAATTGTCATTTAGTGATCAGGCTGTAATGAACAGCAAATCAAACTGAAAGGTTCTTTGCAAAATCAGTGTTTGAGTGCTTGTTTTTCTCTCTGTAGTATAAAAGTTGACAGGAGGAAAGAAATGGCTGCATTCTTGTATTTTGGCTTACACGTGGTTTGGCGTTGTTGGCAGGCTTTGCTCAAGGGAATTCATAGGAAATAACAAAATCTTTTGCAGGTGTGAAGGCTGTGTGTGCAAAGCATGTAGAGGCAGAGCTGCCAGCAGAACAGGACTGTGTGGTGTGCACTATGTGGGATAGAGATTTCTGGCACCATTGGTCAGTGGGAGATGTATGTGAGGTGTGCTGCGTGTTGGTAGGACGTAGTGTTGTGCTGGTTATGGTGGCAGAGATTTCTGAGGAACCATGGAATGCCTGGGAGCTGTGAGGTTCCCACAGTGCCCTTACTCTTCTTTCTTGTGTTCACATACGTGTTGGAAGTTCCCTCAGTTGCTCATGTGATGTCCCTTGCTTCCTGCTACGGTGCGTGTGGATCCAAGCCCCTAACAGTGACCGTGCACCAGCACTCAGTTATTGCTGATCTGCACGCATGGTTTGACATTGTGCCAGGATCTTTAGAGATGGAGGACTGGATGTTTGATGAGATGTGACCAGGAATGCTTTTAGAGGTTTGCCACACTGCTCTTTTGCACTCTTAATAGTAATTTTTTTTTCCTGTCTCTTGGTGTTATTTCTGCGTATTACTCATCTCTTGCTTGGGAAATGAGGGAAACAGAGTGGGTGCTGTCAGGCTGGGATGAGTGCCTTCAGCTCTCCTTTCAGCTGCAACAGTCCTCCTGGGTGCTGTGTGGTACAGGGAGGGCCCTGATAAGCTCCAGCAGCCCCCCATGCTGAGGCATTGTCTTCCCTCCATGAAGAGCTGGTGGCTGTGTTTTAAGGCAGTTCTATTGGCAGTAATAGCAGTGAACCAGTTCCCATCCCCTCCCAGCAGCTCATTTTAGTGCTATCTCCTCTCTTGTGTTGGCATGATTTCTCATGCAGCTGCATGGCAGATCAGATCAAGGAACTGATCCAGTTGAAAGTGATTAATTGTGGGTTGGGGGTGGTGGTAGGGTTTGGCTTTTTTTTTAGTATTCAAACTAGCAGTAAAAATAAATATATTGTAATTTTACCATCATGTGTGCAGAACTAAGCTTGAGATTAGTGTTCCCTTATCAGCTGGAGCATAAGATGTGACTTTTTTCTTTATATTCCCTTAGCACAGAGGAAATGTTGGAAAATGCATCTTCCCACATCTGTTTCCTCTGATCACAGTCTGTGTCCCAGCATCTGTGAGGTAGTTATCCTTTGGGACCGTTCTGCAGCTGGAGCTCATGTTAAGCAAAGCGACAGATGCTATTAGATTTGTCATGCTGGCAAGGAGGAAAACCTCAGAAGCTGTAAGAGTTTGCCATGGGGCAGCCTTCCTATTTCCAGCAGGACCACATCTGCTCTTAGAGCAATGAACATGGATATAAGAAGGAGGAGTCTGATACACATCCATGTATTTGTGTATCCAGATTTGTGTGTCAGGAAATCATTGCTACATGCTTTTGCAAGCACTTTTTTTGGATCTGCGTGACTATGTACAAAGAGAAGTGCTTGGTTGAGCACTGCTTATGCTGCATGGTTAGTTTACAGGCTTGCACTTCACTGGCTTATAAGCAAAGCCACTTTGAATTTTCTACATGCTTTTGTGCCCAAGTATAGTGGTGTGTGGGATGAACAGAGCACAGACCCCTGGCAGTGCCCATCGGTGGGCTTGCTTGCTAGTTGTGCCCACCTGTAACAAAACACTCAGGTGTGAGTTTTCATCTTCCTGAGCCAGCAGGCATTGCTGAGATTGGGAAAAAACAAAATGCAGTGTTGGGGATTTCAGAGGAAGACAGGCTTCATATCAGTGTGACTGATGGCAGGCAGCGGGATTAAATAACGTGCCAGCTCTGTGCTGTTGGTGTTGGTGCCATTTGTCATCATTATCTGCATAGCTGACAGCTGCTCTTGTCAGTGAGATGGATTCTGTGACTGATGGGCTCTGCTGGGAGGACTGGTGCTGCTGGGGTGGAGGTGTGCATGGCCGTGCTGTTAGAAAGCAGCTTCAGCTGCCAGAGCTCTGGAGCCAGCATCTATGTGCACTGTGTACACTGAGCTCTGTGCTCTGCCTGTTCTGCACATGTCTTTGTGTTTGTTCTGCACATTCAGCTCACGCAGCCAGGAAGTGTTGTTCATGTAGGCACTCTTTGTTTTCTTCTGTATTTTTTTTTAACTAAATTGCACCTTAAACTGTATAAAATTGCAGGCGCTCATTTAGTTTCGAGAACGAGTGATGAATTTTGTGGTTCTGCCCTAAAAATATCAATGTACCTACAAGCAAATTCAACAACTGTGTCTTTCCAGGATAAGTATTTTAAGGTTAGTGCTGTAGGAACATGCTTTCAGCACAGCATTTGCTTTCCTTAAATAGTTATTTTAGACTGTGAGGATAATGTACAGCCAATATTGCACATTTCCATTCCTCTCTTTGATCTGCTCTTCCACCTGCAATAAGATTTTCAGGGGCCCTGCTGTGCTGGTGTTTTCTTTTGTGGAAGCCATTCTGCAGCCAAGGATTGCTGCAACTTTTGACTGTAAAACTAAGTAGTGATGCTGATTATTGGAAGAGTTGCTTAATTGCACATCCAGAAATGGGTTTGTCCTGAGGTAGTATTGCTGTCAGCAAACCTTGTAATTTGGAAACAGCTCCTATCACAGAACACCATCGCGTTAATAGCGAGGGACCATTACATTCTGCTGTAGTCTGCTAAATAGCCTTTCACATACTTGGTCCCAAAGGGACTCTGTGGCTTCTCAGGCTGAGACAAATGTTGTTAAAGTAGCGATTAAGGTGCTCTCTTGATTGTTTATGAAGTTCTGATGGAATTAATGCTGATGGAGTTAATGTAGGACATAGAAGCTCTTACCTTGGAATTCAGTCAAAATATTAAAACGGCACAGTAAAATTAAATCTTAAGGCAGCAAATGGGATACGTGGAATATTTTCTTTTATGAGTTATTCTGATGCTATTGCATTATTAACCTGGTATGAAACTAACATCAAAAACTTAAAGGGAGGGCACAAATAAATAACATTAAGCTTTATCAGTTTGTATATTGATTAAAATGCTGGAAGTAGAGTTACATTCTTTTGAAAGGGCGGTTTGGTTTTTATTGGCTGCTTCTGGGACCTTTATAACCCTTCCATCTCATTTCCATCCCTGCAGGCATTCAAGGCCAGGCTGGATGTGGCTCTGGGCAGCCTGGGCTGCTGGTTGGTGACCTGCACACAGCAGGGGGTTGGAACTGGATGAGCGTTGTGCTCCTTTGCAACCCAGGCCATTCTGTCATTCTATGATTCTATGATTTCTCATGACACTTGTTGTGATGTTTGGATGTCCTGAGAAATCTCGCAAGCTGTTCTAAGGATAAGATCTTTTTCTTTAGAGACCTCAAGAGATTTATCTAGTTCTCTTGGAACACCCATGTGGAGTACATCAGGAGTGCTAAGATGAGAAGACCTTGAGCAAGCTCTAAATCAGGGCTCTGACCTAAACCTGCAGTAACTAAACAAACTGAGCAGGAGCAATTTTCTTTTTTTAATAACGTTACACTTAGAGTTGTTTTGTTTTTCAGATCTTTTAAATACTGAATGCATTTGTTATTCCAGTACTGTTCTTCCTGTATGAAAACACATGCATACCACTTCATAAAATACCAAGAAGTAGCACTAATCTCAATATCTTCTACGTGGAATTTCTTTTTTCATATGACTGTCAAAAAATGTGCTCACGGGGATCTGAATTTAATAGAGCATTATGCTTAATCAATCTTGTTTTCTTTATAGAAAAGGCTACAAATGAACACAACACCAGTGAGGACTGGGGTCTTATTATGGACATCTGTGACAAAGTTGGAAGCACTCCCAATGGGTAAGCTGTACTCAGCATGGTGACATGTGATTTCATGTTGGTGTGAATAATACTGCTTCACAAGTAACACATCTCAAAACACTCATCGTAGTCAGCTACACAAAAGCACTACAGCTCCAGCACTTCTGTGAGCCCTACAGATGTGTGTGGTTGGCTTTATAGTTCTTGGAAAGAAATATTCCACCAGGACTTCCAGTAGAGCAATTGGTAGATGCTGAGTGTGTTCCAATTTTAGGAAGTTCTGCACAGTGACCAAATTATTCATATTTAATAATCTTGCATATGTTCTGCAAAGCAACTGTGCAAATAGGAGAAATTGAACAAGTTTCTTTGCAGGGAAAAAAAATATAGAGAGCAGTTAGCTGTTTATGATGGGGAATTTGTTTATTCATTAGGAAGAGTGGGATTGATGGAGGAGAAAAAAGAAGTAAAAATTGGCATTGATACTCCATTTGAATCAGTTTACCTTCTGTGGTAATATTGACACAAAAAAGTGGTAATTCAGTGACCTTATAATTGATAAAAGTTAAGGTGATCTTTCTGAGTTATAAAATGTTGTAGATTTTGTAGCCATCTGGAACTGGTACTTATCTTGAATTCGTAAATGATGTTAGATTTCTGTTTTTGTAATTTAGATGTAATATTTAAGGTTACAACACTGAGAAAGGTCTTTATGCATTCTGGAAAGAAAGAAGAATTATTGGCTACCCTTAAATGAGTACATACTTTAACAACAAGTATGTTGAACTTGTTGAAGGCCATGAATTACAGGTAAATGTACTCAATATTAAACTAAACCTGAGCTTCTCTGGTCATGTGTACATCAGCAAGTAACTCAGCACACCAGGACTGCAGTGGTGCACCAGAGTAGCTGGTACTGAGGCCACCACATCCATCCAGTGGAGCATTTGGAGTTTTTCTTTTCCCTTCAGAACAGGTTTCATCGATTCATCTGAACTGAATATCCACAATGGCAGTGGTGCACATGTTTCTGTTGCACCTGCTGCTGGATCTGACCCTGTGGCTCCTTGGGAGTTTGGAGTGCTGGTGGTGTGCACAGAGGAACTTTTGGCACAGCTTCTTCCAACAGCAATCTAATTTTCCTGCTCAGAACTGTACTGTGAGCTGAGTGTGCAGGAATAACATAGGCATCAGCTCCTGTAGCCCTTATGTGCCTTTAATGCTCATTTTCACTCATGGAGCTCCTTAGTAGAAGGATTTTGAATTGTTAATTATTAATTATTAATTTGAATTGTTAATTATTATTCAATACTTAACTCAAATTTGAATCAGGTTAAGAAATTGTGATGTATCTTAAGTGTCTTGAAAATGGGACCCAGGAGCCAACAACCTGTGAACATGGCTTTGAAATTAAATCTATAGAGAGCCTTTATAGTAGCCAATTAAATAACCATTTAATCACTGCTTCTCTTGATTTATTTTTTTAATGTAGACATTTCTTTCATTGTCTCCTTCAAATCCATTTCCTCAGCTTAGTGGCAGTTGCTCTCTTTGTGACCTATTCTGTCAGTGTTATGGAAATCAATATAGAATGCCAGCATAACGGAGTTTTCCAATCCAGTACACTTCTAAGAACAAGTGATGTGCTAGGTATTCTTCCAGACTTGTTCTGCAAAAAGTATGGCTTAGGTTACATTTTTTTTCAGCAGAGCCAGTTTGTTTGTTTACCAGATACTCACATTCTGTAAAATTTGTTCTACAAAGTCATATTTGTCACTAATACTTTCTTCTTCTTTTAGGGCAAAGGATTGCCTTAAAGCCATCATGAGGAGAGTAAATCATAAAGTTCCCCACGTGGCCCTGCAAGCACTTACAGTGAGTAGCCTATCACTGTCTTCCAGAACTGCTGTATTTCTTCATGTAATGGAGCTAATAAGTGTGTCCTGATCAATTAAAAGTTTCTGTATATCTTCAGCAGAAGTCACTGAGGGTGAACGTGCTGAACAAAGGGTGAAATTTAATTTTTCTGTGTGCTTTTGTTTTGGATATTGTTGTCAGACATTTTCATAATTGTGTTTCTGTTGTCAGCTTCTAGGAGCCTGTGTATCGAACTGTGGAAGAATATTTCACTTAGAAGTTTGTTCTCGTGATTTTGCTAGTGAAGCTCGAGGTATAATAAATAAGGTAATTTTTTATAACTTCAAGCAGTGAGGTAGAATTATTTTTATCAGTGCTTTGCTTTCTGTGAGCACAATAATGAATTGGCAAAACAGACATTTGTGTAGATGTACTAATGATGTTTAGTTTTGATGCAGTTGCAAATATTGCTGTCTGTTTCATCAGTGGAATTTGTGTGTTTTCATTTCTGCTGTTAAGCAAATGACAGGCTGATACTGTCTGCTCCCAATTGTTACAAAATTTTAATTAAAAGCGTTTTTATTAATTTTAATTATTTTAATTAAAATCTATGACTCTTCATAGGCTCATTAGTTTGATCGTAGTGAAGTAGTTTTCTTTGGAAAGTGATTTGGCTTTAATGCAATCCATAAGCTAAAGTACACAAGGAAAACTGAAAACTGTACTTGGACAAAGAAAAGAGGAGATATCAGACAACTTTCTTAGTTTCTAGAGAGTATAAGAATGCTGAATGAGGAGGTTACCAAGAAAGGAGGACCGAAAGGGTTGCAGTCGTGCAGTTGATGGGATCTAAATCCGGATATAATGAATTGAATAAGTAGAAGCAGCTTTCCCATAATTACTGCTCCAGTTGAAGACAAAAATGGCTAAAGAAGATAGTCTTCAAGTGTATGGGAGGCCTGGAAACATCAGAGGTTGAGTAAAGCAATTAAGGAAACTAATAAAATTGCTGGGAAGCAAAATGAGTTCACAGCTCTTCTGTTTCTCGCTTTCTGTGGAAAAATAGGTCTGGAAGTCCTCCCCTTCATTCTCATTAGCCACGGTCCATTCTGAAATAGAACATTGACCTTCATGGACTGACAGCGCTTGTGAATGTAAAAACAAACCTTAAATCCCACTGAACAATTGCCTACAGGAGCATAATGTATTTTGTTGTTGGGAAATACTTGTGTTTTCCTCTGTCCCTGACCCATTTGGAGAAATAGTCATCAGAGGGCCTGTAAAATTTGTGCTTTCTTCCTTTTCTCTGAAAAAAAATTAGTTCAGACAAGTGTGACAAATACCTTTGTGCTGATAATGAACCTACTGAGCTAAATGTCTTCTTTCAACTAAATGCATGCTTGAGCCCGAACTTGTTGCTGTTCTTGCAGCTCAGCATGTGTTTGGCTGTGAGCCACAGGCTTATGCTGTGATCTGAAGTACAGTCTAATGGGAAGTCTTGGTCATACATTGCAGTTTGTGGTCCCAAGCTGTGTATCTTTTTAACTTGCCTTGTACAGATGAGGTGACTCACCAGCTCCAGAAATCTTATTCATCAGCCTGTGGTTAGTTTGCTTGCTTTGGGTTTAGGCAATAGTCTTTTCATTGACTGGACACAAAAGCAGAAAGCGTATGGAGTCTGAAGTGCTTTGGTCCGTGTTTGACCCTGTGCTGGCATGGCCATCACATGTAGTAGCTGCTGTAATGAAGAGTCAGACATGTTGCTGTAATATTTTTAAGACTGTTATGAGATTAGCAGCAGCTCCAATGTAATGTTGCTGAGGTATGCTCAGAAGTGTGTCCTTTAGCCATATCAGAGTGATGCGTGACTGACTTTTCTGCAGGTGGGTTATCTCTTGGCACGAGGTTGTTAGCACGTAAGATTTGCATATATATATTTAGGTTGTTTTCAAATCTTTTTTTATTCAAGACAGTTATGGATATTTATAGTAAAATGGTTTTGGTAACAATGTTTGAAAACTATTTCTGCTCACTTTAAGGCATAAGCATCCCTTTCTATGCAATTTTGTCTTCTAGGCTCATCCAAAAGTAAGTGAGAAGCTGAAAACTCTAATGGTGGAGTGGTCAGAAGAATTTCAGAAAGACCCACAATGTAGCTTAATATCTGCAACTATTAAATCTTTAAAAGAAGAAGGTGTCACTTTTCCTGCAGCTGGATCACAGGTAAAAGCTCAATTAGGAATACACAGTACCTCTCCTGTTAGAGCTCTGCCAGTGAACAGCAGGAAAAAAAACATGGATCTTTTGATCAGAGGGAAGTAGGACCCTTGTTATAGTTTGGTTGCCTCCTGACACCAAGGTTCATTTCATTCTACTTTTTAATTTCCTTGCCCAGGAAAAGTGAGAACAGACTAAAGGTTATTTCTTACTGCCTTTGAGTTGTTTCATTTTAGATCTGTCTTTCCTTCAGATCATTTTTTTTAGAGTTTCATCAACCTGTCATACCTTAAAAATCAAAGCAGTCCTACACCCACACCTCATACTTGGTGTTTCATGGTTCTAATTGCTGACTTGGAACACGTTTCTTTATTATTTTTTCCTTCTCAGAGCCTCGCAAAACAATTGGCAGTATCTGAAAGTGAGACATTTTTTGAAAATGATGTTCTGTGCTATGCTTTCCTTTTCTAAGTCCCCCTTTCTTGTTCATGTTTTTTTGTCCATGTCAGGACTTGTCCATCTCTGCAGTGCTGCAGTGATGGGTGCTCCAGTCCCTAATGTCACTTGCTCTTTTTATTTTACTTGTGGCATGTTATGTCTGATCATCTAGCTGGCAGTAATGCTGACAAGTTTTCTTTTTTGGAATGCTTTATTATTTATGCTTCTAAATATTATTATGTTCAAAATGAGTTAGGTGAAGAACAGTCCTTAAAATTAGAAACTTATCTTCAGTTACGTATCCCTTCCACGAAGTTCACTTTTCTCTGTATTAAACACAGGTGGTGGATTTTTTGTGTGCTGGTTTTTTTTAAATTCTACAGTATTCCTTCCTCCACAAAGATGTTTTCACCTCTAAATCTAGGATAAGTGTTAAAACATATGGCAGAAACATAGAAGATGGAGAGTGCTGGCAACCAGTTATGCTTTCTTCCTACAGATGCATATAAAAATGACATCTTGATGTCTCTGCATCACACGCTTCACTGCAAAAAACAAAGCTGAGGTTTATTAGTATACTTGTACAGAATTGTTTCTTAGAACCATTGATAATCCCACTATCTGAAACCAGTTTGTTCCTGCAAAAGACTTCCCTGTTGAAGCGAAGGATTTCATTATGCTCTTGTGGAGACTCAAATTATTCAAGTCAGAAGCTCCCAACTTGATATACATGTGCTCTTCATTCTTATGCTCCCAAAAACAGAAGAGGAGGGTAGCTACTAGCTGTCATGTGGAGAGAAATCTCCTTTTAGCAAGTCCAACTCCTGGTTAATAACTTAACTTCACAAACGTAGGACTGCAAAGAGCTTTTCTTCCCTTTTGAGAGGTGAGGTGGAGGACAAAGGTGGGAAGAGTAGTTTTTTAAATGAGTTGTTTCATCTAAGTAATGCTACTGACATTGTTATTTGAATGAAATCCTTAAATAAATGAGATCTGATTATTTATTTTACGTGGTTCCTTTCTGAAAACTAAATGTGGATGAGATTCCAGAGTGAAGTAATTTTTCTCTTCTAAAAAATCATCCTGGGTCAGTTCTGAAATGCTCAAAATAGGCAGCTAACAGGGAACAGCTTCTTACTAATTTTTTTAAAGTATATAATTATAGAGCTTTCTTCCTCCTTTGTTAACATGAAGCTATTCTATTGTTAATACATTTGCAGGCTACCACAAATGCTGCTAAGAATGGTTCTTCATCAAGCAAAAACAAAGAGGATGAAGATATAGCTAAAGGTAAATTACTAGTCACAGCCTTGTGTTTGACTTGTGCTCTGGGTTGTCATGCCAAAACGCATAGAAATAAGAAGCTGCACTTTATTCTGCTGCACAGAATTGAAATCAAGGGCTCAGCAGGCTGAGGATTGAAGTTTGGTTTTGAAATGTTTCTTGTGCATGAGTACTGCTTGTCTTTTAATTCTGTTGCAGGACAGAGTAAAGCTGTCATAATATAAAACATCAGTTGTAGTTTGGAGCACAGATTTTAAACTTGCACAGACCATAATGCTAAAATATATATTTCTTCTGATTAGGAAAGCAAAATACCTTTCTATAGAGGGATAAAATACATAGACTTAACTGTTTTTTTCCCTCTCCTCACTGTAGCTATTGAATTGTCCTTACAAGAGCAGAAGCAGCAACAAATGGAGACCAAATCCTTGTACCCATCTGCAGAAGTTCAGCAAACCAATCAGAACCTGAGGAAGGTGCGAGCTCTCTATGACTTTGAAGCTGTCGAGGACAATGAGCTCACCTTTAAAAGTGGAGAAATTATTTTTGTTTTGGATGACAGGTACAATACACTCAGATGAAGGTGCCTTTATTCTGCAACTGTGTTAGGATAGCAATTTTTTCCCTGATGCTTTTTTTTCCACAGGTGTGTATTGTCACTCTGGCCTTCTTCACATCCCTTAATCATCCACTATTCTTTACATACATTTTCCTGAATTATTTTATTCCTTAAAAACATTCTGAATCTTGTTTTCCTGCAGAACCTTCCTTGCCCTCCTTCCCTACTTCATATATTTCTCCAGTGATTAGATGTTTATTTACTTCTATGTGTTCCTTTAGGTACTCATTCTGTGGTGTAGGTCCAATTTGTAATTTTTATGTTAATTGATTATAACATGTCATAAGAATATACGTATACATGTTACAGTGCTGAATTCTAGCTAGTTCCAGAAACTGTTAAATCTCTGGCTATCAAGCATTGCATGTGTTAGGAATAAAACTGAACAAAAATGCTTCAGTAATTATTGTTAACTGTTGTCACTGTTCCTCCAGCAGTAGCTAAGAAGTAGAAATTGCTTATGCTGCTCTAGTTTAATAGACTTTGACAGATTGATTACATTTCTAATGTTAGTCCTCACTTATGTACCTCTTGTAAGCTTTGAGGTGAAGCTATAATGGGCTATCATCTAGTCAGTCTAAAGAACTGTGCGTTAAACTTGAAGTGATTAATGATCTCCACAACCCATTCCCAGCTCCTGGCTTTGGGTTTGCTGCTATACTAATCTGTACCTGGGTTCTCTTCTGCCACTGTTGTTGTGCATGCAGAGAAATAGTGCCTTAGATATCACAGGTTTCCTACCAAAGCACAAAATGTCATTGATGCTGAGTGTTAATGTTCCAAGTTTGTAACGCAGCTCTATCTCCCCAGTGACACCAATTGGTGGAAGGGTGAAAATCATCGAGGAGTGGGACTGTTTCCATCTAATTTTGTGACTTCTGATTTAAACGTTGAACCTGAGGCAGGTAAGTTAGCTACTAAGAGTTAACCTCTTACATTAGAAATATGGGTTTATGGTGGAACTGCTGATTAGCTCATAATCAGCATAATTTCCTGATACCAGCCTGAGAAAAGAATTGAGGGAGAAATCCTGAAGTTGTTTCAAACCAGCAAGTAAGCATTTACTTCTGCTGTCGCTTGCTTTCATGATATCTTTTAGTTCTACGTTGTTACTTTCTTCTTATTGTGATAATTGACACATCCTTATGTAAGAGCAAGGTATTACTTCCCTCGCAGATAGGTGTGGTCTTAAAGTACTTACTCAAATTTCTGTGATATTTAAAGGTTTGATGCTGAGTGGGTGGAAAAATAATAATACGAAGTAGCATAAAGCTAACACAGTTTCTTTTCTGCTGATGTGTTACCCTTGGTTCTTCTTTCAGCAACTGTAGATAAAAACTGTGTTCCTGAGGATGCTACAGAAGAAATTAAGAAAGCAGAACCTGAGCCAGTTTATATAGATGAGGTATGCAGTCACTTGAATATACAAAAGTGCTGATATTTCAAATTGTTAAAACATATTTTGATAGTGACTGTTAAAAGGTAACTATTTTTATAGAAGACTTTTAATTTGAAGATGAAAAGGGTCTCTGCCATGCTGTGGAAATAGCTGTTCTTAATCTTCTCTTCCACCTTTCAGGATAAGATGGATAAAACACTGCAGGTGCTTCAGAGTATAGATCCTACAGACCTAAATCTTGATTCAGATCTTCTAGACTCAGAAGGTACTTTGAGCACCGAGTTTGCTAGCTCTTGTATTGCTTCCTATGATTATTTTCCATGGATTGAGTTGGTAATTCTTTTGTATTTATTTTAAGCACAAAGAAACTAGGGTGTGTATTATTGGTGTGCTGTAGAGTAGTTAATTTCACAGTTGGAGCATGGAGCTATATGTATGCCTCTGCATTTTCTCATAGTTGCCAAGCCAACTCCGTGTTTAACCAAGCAATTTGCTTAACTTCTAGTGAGAGTGCTTTGCCTGATCCTTGCAGGATTTATCCACCTATCTGAGCTCTGTAGAAAATAAGCTATTCATTGTATGTAAAAAAGTACAGCTTGCTTTGCTAATAGGGAAGGGGAAGTTCTGTTCATTTATGATCTGATCAGTTCAAAGCGTATAGGAATAGCTAAGTATACTTCCAGGGGGGCAGGGGTGGGAGGACAGTCTGGAGAGATTCATAGGTAATGCAAGGATTCCAGTAAGAGGTAACTCATAGACCTTGCTTATGGCAAGCAGGAATGCTGAATTTTGTGTGACTTTCATCAATAGTTTTTTGTTTGGAGAGGGAAAGACAATGAAGGATGACAAAGCAGAATAAAGAAAGTATTTTCCTTCTCTGTGTGGGGTGGAGGATTTGGACTTCCGTGACAGCTAGATCCACCCTCTAATTTTCAATGCTTTCTTAGTGTAGTTAGATAAAGTATTTTTTGGTTACGTTTTAAAATTGTGCTGTATGTTAACTACTTTGGCTCTTTTGTCTTTACAGTTATTTGTCAGCAAATGGGTCCAATGATAGATGAAAAACTGGAAGAGATAGATAGGTGAGTCATAACGTAGCATCTGCATAATTTACCAGTACCTCAAATCGTGCCATTGTATTCATTTTTTTTCTATATTTTCCTTCATCTTCCAAGGTAGGAAGTGTTGCAAGAAAGAATCAGACCATTCTGCCTTTTGGTGTTTGACACTTAGATACAGAAGTCCTGTTTGTGTACTGAAACTTGATTGCTGCTCTCCTGAACTTACTGCACAAGTTACTGGGTGCATTCTGTATTAGCACTTACTGCTTGTAGGCTTTTGTCTGGATATTCTCAGTCTGCTGTTCGCTGTCCTCTGTGACAGAAAAACTGGTTAAACAGCATCTTCCCCCCCTTTTCCCTCAAACTCTATAAGGGATATTTAATGGTGAAAAGGTAATTCCTGCTTTATTATGACTAGGGAAGGATCATTGTTCACCTTTTTGACTCTTCTTCCATTGCAATGGTGTAAGAAGCAGAGTAGATTCTGGAAGCTGTACAGTACAGATGTGTCAGAAATCTGCCATCTACCTTTAAAGATGATTTTTTTTTTTCTTTTATACTCGGATCCCTTTAATGAATCACTCCTGTGTTATTATCTGACACTAGATGTTAGAGAAATGTAGTGTTTGCATGTATTTATTTTGAAACAGAAAACATTCCGAATTATCTGAACTGAATGTGAAAGTTCTAGAAGCTCTGGAGCTCTATAACAAACTGATGAATGAAACACCGATGTATTCAGCCTACTCCAAACTCCATCATCCTGCACAATACCCACCTACATCTTCTGGTGTTTCAGTGCAGGTCAGTATCCCTGTCTGGAAATAGAGACTTTCCTAATATAGTTTTCTATTTAAAAAGATGACAGCAAAAATGAAGAAGTGTAGACTTCCTGCTAGCCTACGAACAATCTGACATTGCCTGGTGACTTTCTGTAGCTTTCAGAATAAAATAGCATTTAAGCAGTCAAACAGAGTATTTTAATTTGCAATTATTAGCTCATGCAATAAGCTATAGGTCTTAATTTTACTCTCTAATTAGAAAGATACTTTATTGAAAATGCTTAAAACGATTCTTTCTGTGATTTCCTCCTTCCCACCCCATTAGAATTCTGTGTTTCAGTGTCGTTCAGCAGCTTGGAGGATATTCTTGCTCTGAGTCATTTTCTCACTCTCAAAGTAATGTTGCCTTCTTATCTAATAGGGATGTGAGTGAACTTTGATATTAGTGCATTAATCATGAGTGCAGTGTACTTTTGCTAAGTATAAAAACCTTAATCTGGTTTTAGCTCTGGATTTCCTAAGGCAGGGGGTTGGGAAGAGTATTACATCAGTGGGTGTAGTTGCTCCAAATTGATTTACAGTATCTCTAGGGTGCTACATTGGTGTTCTAAGAAAACAAAGATGGAGAAGAAAGAGGGATTTTAAAGATCTTTTTTTACAGGAGGCTTAGAATGACTGGTTTTACTTCTAGTGAATTTCATTTAATGTTAATTGTTCCCTGGGAAAAGAATAGTTGCTATAGCAACTGCTAGATCTGAAAATGTCAGTTAAAAGTAATTCTGTGTCCTTAACTTCTGGTTATGCTGGAAAATATCGTTATATTTGGAGGTTAAAAAGTAACTGAAGCCAAAAGGCAGCAGGAGGTTACTACTTCAAGACAAATACACCCAGCAGTGAAAAATAGAAGATAATGGTATCTGTGCTGGGCCTAATATTGACACACACTTTTGTTCCTTCAGTATCAGTACACAGCCATACCAGTGAGCAGCACAGCCTTGTGTTAGCAGGTTTTACCACCTGTTCAACCAGATTTGAGTGAAAGCTTTGCTTAAGCAAGAAATACGAGAAACTGAAGTTTTTGCTTTCCTTTTGTTGTAGTCTGAGACTATTCTTAAGTTTTGATTTCCAAAATGTATAAAATAACAAATCTTGCATGGTGCTCATCTTCCCACTCAGCCATGTTTGTGCATCAAAATATGCTGAGAATTGAAAGAGAGCAAGCAAATGGGTGAGAAGGAAATAAGGTTGCTGGGAGGTGCAAAGTTGGCATGCGTGAGCAAAAAGGTTGTTCTCTCAGATAAGTCACCATAGAGCTTATTAGCAGTGCATTTTTGAAAGAGATTCCTAGTGATGGAATAAAGGATGCCTGTTGCAAACCTGTACATGTGTTAGGAGAAGTTGTATGTTTTGTTATTAAAACCATGTTAGGGAAATAAATTCAGAATCAGTTCGTTCGAACTTTGAATCCCAAAGTATTTATTCATTGTAGTTGTATTCTGTGCTACATTTATTGCTACTTAAATAAAAGGTATACCTTTATTATTATTATTTAGTCGTATCCTGTACAGCCACCTAGTGGGAACTACATGATCCAAGGAGTTCACCAAGTCACTGTTTCCCAAGGTTATGGCCTAGGACCTGATCAGATGGGGCAGCTCAGGTCTCTGCCTCAAAATATCAATTCTTCTGGAGCAACTCAGCCTGTACAAACTGCTTATTTAAGGTATCAGTCACTTCAGCAAACTCTTACGTTACGCTTTGCATAGAATTGCAGGATGGGTTGGGTTGGAAGGGACTTTAAAGACCATCCAGCACCAATCCCCTGCCACGGGCAGGGCTAGCTGTCACCAGGCCAGGCTGCCCAGGGCCCTGTACATGGTGTGGGGCACCTCCAGAGGTGGAGCACCCACAGCTTTGGGCAGCAGTGCCACAGCTTCACCACGCTCATAGAGGCTGTGACTGTGGGGTATTTACAGTGTTGTGCAAATCTGCTTTACCACTTTGAAAACATACAGATAGCTTTTGGACTAAGAAAAAAATGCTCATCAGAGAACCAGATGTGAGCTTGTCTTGTTTTGTTACAGCCCAGGACCAGACTCTGTGTTAAACCAGACATTTGTGACCCAGAGCCCCGGCCTCCCCGCAGCTGCCAACACAGCAGTGTACAGCCAGCAGCAGATGGGCTCGGTGGATATGGCAGCTTACCAGAGCAACACATCGAGTTTGCCTCAAGGACCAGGTTATCCCATGGCAGTTCCTGCTCATTCCGTTCTACAGCAACAAACCAATTACCATCAACAGCCTCTCCTTTAAAAACAGACCTAAAAACAGGCTTGTTTCCAAAATAATGAAGAGATTGCTGAATCTAATGGTTTTTATTAATACCTGTCACAGATATCAAAATACATTTTCCTTTAAAATAACCCAACTTAGGGTGATGCTGAGTAACAGTATGCATCGGATCTGATTGTTAATCATTTCCTTAATGATAGTTTGAACTACGTGAGCTAATGATTTAAAATAATTTCAGATTGCTTTGAGCCCTTGTTTCAGTGGTTTCAAGAAATGCCATTTATGTGTCTGAATTCAAGTAAAAAAAAAAGTCCAAAATTAATTTTATGTGTTTCTAGAAATGTGAGGATGCATAGTCACTGTTCTGTGTTGCTCTCGTTACGCATCGTCTCCTCTGGTGTCTTGCTGTAATCTTTCCATCCAAGTAGCTTTACAGAGCCTCTGCTGATTCAGACACCTCCTCTCCGCGCTGCCGTAGTGAGCTTTACAGTATGGTGTGTGCTGCATAATTGGAACAGCTGCACAAGTGAAGCAGATGAGAGCTGGAAGAGAAAATGATTTGATACTGTGACAGAGAACCGCGTACCTACAGAAATAGGAGAAATGCCTTTTTTTAGTGCTGCCTATTAGGTTTTGGGAAACTACAGCTCCTGATGTGTTTCTCTTGAAAGAAGCTGTGGGAATGGGGCAGTTGATGCTTGAACTCTCTTGTGGCTTTGGGCACAGGTGGTACAGCAAGCACATGTTGCCTTTGCACAAGTATGCAAGGGATGCTCCCAGCAGCCTGTGTGGGTACTCTGGATACAAAGTGCTGAGCCAGGAACTTGCACAGAATAGATTTTCTTTTCCTTTGTTGTTGTACGTAGAAGTGAAGGAGAAGTGTAGTTCTGTGTGGTGAAAGGAAGGACTTCAGAATGTTTGATGTTTAGGACTGTGAGACTCTACCTTTGTTCCATTTCCAGTGGGGAGGCAAGTGGAACAGCAACTGTCCAGACCAGAGGGTTCTTGCCTCTATTGGATTTCCTTTTGTTGCCACCATTTCCATGTATAAATAAACACTGGGTACAGTCAGAGAGAAACTCTTAAACCAGTGAAAAAAGTCTGCTTAACACACTACGTATGGGCAGTGATGGGATTGTGCTCCCCACTTAATAGCAGGAATCCTTGTATATTGAAAACAAGAGATGTCTGTAGAAAAGAAATTGCCTTGGAACTGTGGAAGTGTCACATTTGGTGGCTAAGAAAAGAAATGTAAGGATTCCTTCCCTGATGCACTTTTTAATGGGTGGGTTCTTTTTCCTTTTACAAGAGGAACAGGTGAGTTATCCTTCAGGAACGTGGGATTTTTTCTTTTATTGTTTAAACCTCTGGAAAAAAAAAAAATCATTTAATTCTCCTGTTTACCCACTCACCTTAGCAGTCATATTTATACATATTTTAACATTATTATGATGAGTAATAATCTTTACATTAGGAAAATAATGCAGTGAAATAAGTGATAAAGCATTTTGTTAAATGTATGAAACTCCAAATGTGTCTAAACAAAAGCACATCTGGTGTGTCATTTTTCTACCAAATGAGAGCTATCAGACTGCAGGCTGTTGTTGAGTATTAAACCACCCTTCACTCGTTGCCACCTTCATTTCTTTTGCATTTTATGTCATTCTTCAGCACCAGGATGTCATTCACTTGCAGCCTCGTGCTTATGGAATGAATGAAGCATTCAGTACCTGCTCTTTCAATCACCTTTATTTCAATTTGTGCAATTAGAAGGAAGCTGTCTTTCCTTTTGATGTGACTTTGTCTGTATCCTTCCCTCTGAAGTAGTTCAGTATAAATGACACACGTTGCAATACTGAAGTATTTTGATAACTTTTTCCTCACCTTTGTTAAGAAGAATAATAATTAATTTCAATGCTGCTGTTCAAAATTCTTGTTTTGAGATTTTTTTTGTAAGAGTTTACTTTGTTCCAAATTGGTGTGAAATCAAACTGAACCGTGCTGTAATTTATGTAGTTATTCTGTGTTTATTAGTAAATGAGAGGAAAGGGTGGGTGATCTGATTGGATTCCAAACTTTGATCCAGCAGAACCATCAGGATGTTAATTGGAGATGGCCGGATCACTTTTAGTTAATTATTTTGTGGAATATAAATAATGTACATACTCATTTGTCTGAGATTTTCTACGCAGCTACATATATGCATACTGTTAAAGCCTGGAATTTTATAAAGGCCAGATTTGTGATTGTCGTCTCTTATATTCCAAATTCTGTGATATGCAACCTGTAGATAGTGTAAAATAATTGAATTATTATTATAACAGTGTCTTTAGAGGGCTTTGGTGTTAAGAGGATCTGTTGTTTTTTCCTCTGCATACTTCTGTACTTTGTCATATTTATTTTTTAGGCCTGATTGTAACTGAACATGCTGCCAAAGGATTTATCTAACTTTGGATTTCTACGTTAGGTTTATACCTGCTGTTTTGTATCAGGAATCAATGGTAGGGAACTTCAGCTTTTTCATATAGACTCTCAATGGCTAACATAGAAATCAGTGCAACTTTATAATGAGAATTTTCTTGTGACAGATTTGTTCCATGGATGTTGAGAACGTCCATACTAGATGCATTTTCTTCTAGTATGAATTGGCAACCCATGTCTAAGTTACAGTCAGCTGAGAGCAGCAGTTCCATTTGTCTGCAGTATCACCATTCAGAGATGTGCTTTGAGAAATGCTGCCATTTTGTTATGGCCTTCACGTGGCACATGCGTTGTCTGTTTAATTTGGTATAAAGATTAGTCTTAAGCAGTTGTTTCTGTAGCAGGTAGACCTTAAAATAGCGTCCTGTGTTCGTTCAGCTTTCGTTCATAGATGTCCATAGGCATGTGGAATGGTGACTCTTTTGAAGACTGTCCTTCAGAAAGGAGTGGCTGAGCAGAGCATGGCTGCAATCTCTTACCGTAATTATTTTCTGATAGGAAAGTTGATTTCTTATTTTTATCTATGCATCTTTTCTAAGAAATAACAGGCACTACTACTCTTGCTGACATAGAACACTGTGACAGAATTGTTGAATAAATAACTTTTTAGAACTCCTAGCTTTTACCAGTTCAATTTTACATGAAGCTGACAAACTGTTTTGAGTCAACAAAAAAGAGAAGTGAAGGAAGAGAAATGGAGAAGGGGCAGTTTCTGGGTGATCTGAGAGCTGTGCTGGCCCCAACACAGCACACCTGGGCTTGGACTTCAGATGTTCTGGTTCTGTTTGACTTGGGGCTCAAGGTGAATATGTGCTGGTTATTCGAGGTATCACAGTTCTTAGAGAAAAATTACCATAGAGTTTGCAGTATTAGGAATAGGGGATCTGTTTTGATGGAACATTTGGCCTCTCATCTGCAATACGTGTGCATTGCCTTGTGTGAATAAACAAAGTTTATTTAACAAATGGGTGAAAAGTCTTCTGTTTGCAACACAGGTAAATCCTTGCCAGAAAGATGGGGCAAGAGAGCAGCTGTGGGCAGCCTGCTGTGGGAACCTGGCTGCAGCCTCCCCTGCCTGCCTCCCCGTGTTCCTGTGTGCTGCAGCACAGCCAGTGCTCAGGGAGTGAGCAGCTCAACTTCAGAGCCATGCTGATGAGCTGCTCTTATTGGGAACCACTGCTTGTTAGCTTTAATTGAATATAAGCTAGACTTGGTGTGCTGGAGAGCATTGCTACGCATCGGTTGTCAACCAATATATATGCAAACCAACACGGGGAATAGAAAGAATGATCTCAGAGAAAAAGGTAATACACTGATTATACAGAAAACAAATACCCTGCTCTAAAATGGGATTGAATTGGACATCCTAAGAAGGAACCATAACTGCTTAGTGCTTATTAGAGCTTTTCAAGGAAACAAATGAACCAGAAAACAATTTGTAACTCAAAGTAAGGATAAATCCTTGTACTGGGGAGATGCCTTTTGCCAAAGCTGTGTGTGGACACTAAAACAGTCTGCAGGGAGCATAGTGCACCTGGGACCTGTGTTGATGCAGTGCAGTAATTGCTGCCTGCTAACATTTCCTTATGGCACTGCCTGGAGTCGCTGGCCCTACTGGCTTGGTTTCAGGTCACTTCAGGCTATAAATCTGAATTGTACAAAGCCAAAGGAACGGGTCCAGAGGAGGGCCACTAAGATGGTCAGAGGGCTGGAGCGCCTCTCTATGAGGAGAGGTTGAGGGAACTGGGCTTGTTTAGCTGGGAGAAGAGAAGGCTCTGGGGAAGACCTCATTGTGGCCTTCCAGTACTTGAAGGGGGAATATAAACAGGAGGGGAACGGCTGTTTGTGAGGGTGGATGGTGATAGGACAAGGGG